CCGTGTATGTGTCTGAGGAAGAACCCCCCACCACCCCCGAGAGGCTGAAGGTGCTCCTCAGCCAGGCGGGACTCGCCTGGAGATCGTTACACGTTGCTGAGCCCGGTGTGTGGAAGCAGCAGCACCCTTCAGGGATGGAGGGGACAGGGAGGGGGACGAAGCTCCTGGTCTCTCTCTTTTCCAGCCTGGCTCCGTCAGCAGACAGCGGGGGAAGTCACGCCGAGCTGGAACGCTTCGCAAGGCGCCCTGCAAAACCTTCCTGTCGGAGGAGGGAACGTCCCTGACATGGAGCAACCGAGGGGGTTAAAACACCTGAGGTGATAAAATAACCCCTCCTCGACAGGTGTGCTACGGGCAGCCATCCTCGTCTAAAGACAAGGAAGAAAGTCCTGGCTCTCCTCATCCCTTGGACTATGGCTATCTAGCTGGGGTTTTTTTGTTGTTTTTTTTTTTTTTCTCATTTCTTTTCCTGAAGATCGAAAAGCTGCCTTCTTTTGCAGTGACTAATAGGATGGCAAAAGTTAAACTACTTTGCTTCTACAAACCCATACGGCCGAGAAACGGTCAGACTAATATTGAGCCTCCTGTGCGTGCAAAGTCTGTGTAGTTTTGTAGGAAGGAAAATGTTTTCTGTCGAGGACAGATAGTCCCTTGGTGTTGGATTTAGAACTGCTTGCGCTATAAGGTAAATAACGCTACCAAATACTTTAAAAAGGTCTGTCAAATCTCTCTTCCCAGCAAGTCATTCATTCATCTAAAGTCCCAGGAAATACAGGGCTCTGAACTCTGATACTCATCGACCAGTGTTTAGCAGTAAATTAGGCAAATCCCATTCCTAAATCAGAATACCAATTTTAAGCTTGACATGATTGAATTAATTACGGAAATACCACTGTGGTAACAACACGTTTTCAAACAAGCTTGGAGGGACAGCTTCTTGGCTGCCCAAAGGTAACGTAAGACCACGCTGCTGCCAAAAGCAGTGCTCTTGCTGCATCTCGTGTGCCTTGCCCCAGTGACCATGCAGCTGTGGACCTGGCTGAGATCCGAGCAGCAGGCTGAGCTGATCCCACCCTCAGCACCGGCATCTAACCACTAGCATCAATGCAAAGAAATACGCAACCCCAGGCAGGATAGGGGTAAGCCTGGACCGTCCCTTCCACGGGCTTAAGCCTCCTGGGAAACTACCCCTGAGGTCTTGACAAATGTGAAGATAGCAAACGACAGAAGCTCATTAAGAACAAAGGAGAATAAAATTATTAAATTCCTTTTTTTTCTTCACGTGTACCAGAAATATAATTTCAGAAAACCAGACTCAAGAATAGCTATTGTTTCAAAGGCACAGCACTTCCAAAAGGACTGGCGCTTTCCATTATCTTTGGGGTCCTTATTCACTTCGGTCCTTAAGTCTCTGGTCCACAGGTGGCTTGTAAGTGAACCCCAAGCTGACTCCTTCTCCTGACTTCACCACCAGCAACCTGAGTCTTCTTCATGAACACTTCCACCGGGCCAGCACAGCGCCCTTCCATCTCACCAGCCCCTCCCCGCCACCCTGCGCTGCAACCCCAGTGATGACAGCTGCTGACTATTTTTCTTTCCACGTAAGGTGCTGATTGTTTTTTCTTTAGTTTCACAATGATGGGAAATTATTCATGGGGTCTTATTAGTCAATATTTGTATAGTAAAAAATAATAATTATACGAATGGCTCACGTAGGTATCAGAAAGCTTGTGTTAAGCCCACGTTTCCCATGTAATCGCGGTGTCCATACGGCAGAGCTGTCATCTCTATACACTCAGTAAAACAAAAAGCTTCAACACTCTTCAGGCAGGCTGGCGGAGTGATGTGTTAATCTGCTCCCATTAACAAGACAGCAAATTCCCAGTTGATCACCCAACTCAAATTAAGCACGTGTAATCTCACGGTGACACTCACAGCGGTGTTAACGTAATGCGTGCAGAGAGACAGACAGGATGAAGTAAGTGTCCTCCGGAGCGCTCAGCTTCCAACATTAATGTCATTTAGGGGCTCTGAATTTTAATGTGGGTCATTAACACCGAACTCCTGTAATCTCTGCTTTAAAGGCAGAGCCTTTCAGCTGTGTCAGTCTTCTGCACGCTGCACAAGGGGTGTGGGCGATGTTACAGGTTTTCCAGTTCGTGGCAGGATGGGGGAGTCCCGTCAGACTCCACCATGGAGGTGTACTTTATCGGAGGTGGCGGTGGCTTGAAAGACGGAGGTCTGTTCATACTGCAACAGAGAAGAAAAAAGCGCCCCATCACACAAAAGCTGTACAAAAGAAATTTTGTAAAATGTTCACAGGAGGAGGTAGATGGACACTAAATGATTGTAAGAGCACCTGACATTCGCTCTTATGTACTGCAACTGCCCTGTTTCTGTTCTGCAGCCCCAGTGCACCCGCCGGTATTCATTTGGCTTTCCCAGCTCCCACCTCACAACTTTGCTTTATTCATGCTTCAGAAAAACAGATCACGGTCCTGGTGAACCATTCAAAACCCTCGCAGAGGTCTTTTGCTCACACAGCTCTCTGAAGGTATATTTAACGACTCATAACTTCTTTTGTCACTTTATAAGCCAAGATAAAGAAAGGTCCCATCCCAAATCAGTGAAAAAAAAATCAATCCCATTTTTACTTTTGATATACAGGACTTGCAGTCATGTTACGAATGGGTTTTCTACAACCGCAAATGATTCATGACCACCATGATTTTTCAAACATTTTAGTAATGTTAGTAAGATGAAAAATAATTGGCTCTTAGATACGGCTTTCATCGGTAGATCTCCGAGTGCTTTAGTAGGGAATTAAACTTTGGTAATAATTACAAACTCAGTGCTGCTTTGATTGAATCTCCGGGATTAAGTTTCAGGTAGCCTACTTTCATATATATTATTCACAACTCAAATAGTCTGTGTTGCCCTAGAAGTACAATTTCATTAAAACATGTCCTCAAGTAACCACGCAAAATGCGAGAGCAAAAGCAGCTGGCAGGGAGGCTAATAGAAGTGGGGTGCTCTGGGGAAAAAAATTTGACTTGTATTCTTCCCTCACACCCTGAAGCTTCCCCGCAGCTCTTTTTTTAAAGTTTATTTTATAGATAACCCACAGAACAGATGAAAGGACTGAGAACGCTCCACATTTCATACCTCTGTATGAAAAAAAAAAGCATTAGCGACCCATGTACTTAAAGGTCTTGTGCGCTATGGGTAGTCTCAAATGAAAACGCGTAAATCCAAATGGCTGGGTTAGAGTTTGTGCTGTCCCCTGTGCCACCCCTCCCGCCCCTGCGGTTCCCCTCCCTAGTACTTACATCTCTTTCTGGTACTGACACCATTTCCTGATGCCTAAAGCTATCAGAAAGCTGCAGAAGAGGAGCAGGATGGCTACCACTGTTGGCCAGGGGAAGCGACTGGCTTTCGTGTTCCTTATGCTGCCACCTGGAAGGGACACAAAAGACAGGGCTCAGCCCAACGTCCTTGGGGAGGACGATGGCTCACTGCTCCCCCCAGGCACAGTACTGGTGACAACCCAGGTCCAAATCAATACCGGACGGCCAGGTTCCCAGACTGAGCACCCCAAACTCTGAGCATTGCAGCTCTATTTTGTGGACTTCAACCGCTTTTGTCCTGACTGGGTTTGCAGGCTGATGTCCACCACCCATGGGTTCATACGACAGGATTATTCAGGCACAGCCCAGCAAGCATTTCATCTGAAAACCGTCATTTTCTCTCTGTCCCCCCGTGAGCTTCTCTGAGAAGAGGAAGCATGCCACAGCACAGCATGGGCCAGCTGCCCGCCACCAGCTTATTTTTCACACTGCTGACACCAAACCCTGCCGAAATGGCTGGCCAAGGGCACAGCCGCCTTTTGGGGTGGGCTTTTGCCAGCAACACAGCAACCCTGCCTCGGTAGAGCTGCCTCTCCCCACAGTCATGCGGGGATCCTCCCACTACCCCCTCCTGCGCAGCCACCCTTGGGGGTGCTGGTGGCTGAAAAAGGTGCCCTTGGGGTCCTGGCTACGGGGAGGAAGGAGAGGAGGAGCATAGTCCTCCTTCAGCCACCGTAGAGGATGCAGCAGCGGGCTGAGTGCCAGGGAGGGCAGGAGCACAAGTGTCACGGGGCAATACCACCCCAGTGTCACCTCCCATCGTGCTGGCCTCAGGACGCTTTGCAAGGTTGGACCTACTGGCACGTCACCCAGCCTGGGTCTCAGCCACAGTGGCAGCCAGCACCATGGCTGGGCACCAAGTCCACCATGCTGCATGAGCCATGAGTGGCCCCTGGGGTGCAGGAACATGACCAGCCAAATTTTGCTGCTGGAAGAAAACATGCACTGGGGTATTGCTTGCAGAGGCAGGGAGAAGGCAGGAACGCCAAAAACCTGCGACGACCCACAGTGCAGGGATGCAGCTGCCGTGACTCCACTCCTTTTCCCTTTTTTGAAACTGCTTGGCCAAATTTACCCTATGCTCCAGGTTTCGTGCTTCTCTACTTTTCTTGCTTACTGCAATGGCGTGCTGAAAGAAGGGGATTTATGGGATGCTGTCTCACCAGTACTATTGAGCAGACTGCTGGTAGTAAAGAAATCTTTTCCCTTGGTAACTGAAATTGGCTGGTCTGTGATGCTGAAGGACAGGTTACCTAAAAGGATAAGGGCACAGAATATTTTTAGTTACTTTTAAAATTTTTTTTTTAAGAAGGTTGTGATTAGAAGCCACCGTTATTCACCCTGCTGAAGACTGGAAATAAAATTCCAGAATCCAGGTGTCAAACTTCACTTGGGGAGACGCCTACAGTTTTGGCCTACAACCTGGTGTTAGACAAAAAAATGTGCTTTTATCAAACTGAAAAATATTAGAAGAAAGAAAGAAAGAAAGAGAGACTATTAGAAAACATCTATTAAGACGTCCCAGCAAGCCAGCATTGAGCGGCACCGCGGTCTGGGAGAACGATAAGCTTGTCGCCTCTTTGACGGTAATGAAAAAGCGAAAGATATTAAGTGGCTTAGCAGCAACACAAAGAGTCTGCCTCTGCCATGACTGAGTGAAACCTCAGTCTCCTCTGTCAAGCACTGGGTCTGAACCACAAAAACTGTCTTTCATCCGTTTGTAGACAGATATTTTCCCTTTCCTAATACGGCTAAGCTACCTACGTTTGAGATCAGTGCTGCTTAAGGATACATTCCTGGTTTTTCTAGCCTTCTCTCCATGTTCTCATCTTCCAAAATGATAGCTAAAATATGTGACTAGACAAGTGCACAGCTTTTCCAGAGCTGCCACGGCACTTACGGTGCGCCAGGGTGGTATCCTTGGAGGAAA